GTAGTAACGTAGTACGTAGTACGTAGTAGTAGTAAGTAAGTAGTACGTAGTAGTAGTAGAGTAGAGAGAGTAGAGAGAGAGAGAGAGAGAGAGAGAGAGAGAGAGAGAGAGAGAGAGAGAGAGAGAGAGAGAGAGAGAGAGAGAGAGAGAGAGAGAGAGAGAGAGAGAGAGAAAAGAGAGAGAGAGCAATTTATAATATGGTTTCTGATAATATTTCTATATATAGCTGCATGCATTGTTTGAATGTATCTGGATGCATACATTCTCTGATCTATGAGACGTTACACATTATAATAATGCATTACACTTGATTACCTCTAAAACTCCAAGGATAATATACTCAAAATGCTATCATCATCAAATGACTAATCTAATTGTAACTAAAAACCCAGATATTCATAGGAAGTGGACCTCAACCAGATGAAAATATAAAACCTATGAATCCTAGCCCAAATCTTATAATACCAGTGCTTGAAACAAAAAGGGCAAAAGAAAGAGAACTTATAATACGTATAAAGCAATCAACGTAGATTGAGAAATCCCCAATAGCAGGAAAACCCCAACAACCAGAAATCACCTAAAAAAATCGGCAATATTAGGAAATCCCCAACAGCCAGAAATCACTTAAAGTTTCCAAAAAATATTCACAATCACAAACATTGCGAAAAAATTGATTGAAGCCGTAAAAATGGCTCCATATCTCCTGAAATCTCAGGGATTGAGAAATCCACAAAACTTGGGCCATAATAAGTAGATCTACAAATGAAGCAAACTCATAGAGTATTTTTGCAAATTTTAGGGAAAACGATTTTTATAGTGCTCAGAATGCATACCTCAAGCACTGGTTTTAATGGATGAATGGAGGTTGCCGGCTCTAAAAAAGAAGTAGCAACATTGCAGCTTAATGTTTTGATCAAAGCACGACCAATGGATTTATATACTTCGTATCTCCAGATCTTGTGTTGGATGGGGAGGACGAGCTTGTAGGTCGTGGTTGCAATCAGGAAGAGAGCTCTACACATCGAGAGAAAGAGATAGTAAAGAGATGTGAGGAAATAAGCAACGGGCAGCTTAAAAATTGAGTACAACTAAAATTGCACGATGCTTGATTTTCTTTAATCCATGTATTTTTTGGGGAAAAATTTATCCCCATTTTGGGCCTTTAGGCTCTAAACCTAGCTTTTGCAGCACATGGTACCAAACACTATTTCTACTCCAAAATGTGGATACATATATCTTGAATTTGTTTATCCATGGTCCGAATCGACTAGGTCAGATTCATAACCTGTTTCAACTAAGCCAAGGCTTGGTCAATTCTGAAGAGAAAAAGGAGGGTATATGGTATAAACTCAATCACGAACTTGATACGTGTAAAGCTTCAAAGCCTTGGGTATCTCGGGGCCAACTGGCCTAATCAGGTAAGTCTCTCTTCACTATTTCTTTACATTTTTAGTTACTTTATTTATTTTATTAGATCTATGATAATTTCATTGCTCTTCTTTCAATATTTTGTACTAGGATCAATGTCGACTCTGTTGACGATCTAAAGAGAGATCTATTCACTTTTAAATAAATCAACCCTTAAATCGTAATTCTATTGATCTCACTTCTCTATCACTTTTTAATAATGAGTTTGTAGTGTCAGATCTATAGATCTTCATTCAAGATCTCTACAATTTTGTGTTATAAACACCTCTATATGGGCTATCCATTGGTTCGATGTCCTCCCTGTCACGTTTTGGGGCGAGTTCCGTGTTGGTGTCTAATTTCATCGGGCATAACTTCTTTACCCTCGATGTGGTTAGGTATCGATGAATTAGACTGCCTGCCAACAGAAGATAAAGTATTTTATACAATTGAACTAAGCACATAACAAACATTTGTAAACACGAACTATTCAAGCAAATTAATGATGATAGTTTGTTAAAAGTATGCAGGCATCTGTTCATTGTAAATGGACCTTAACCATGAGGTTGTGTCGGTGGAATTGCTTTAATATCGCTCTGGCTCCTGTTGAGATGCAATGTACACAATTTATTAGAAGATTCTCCTTCCAATATATAATATATATCTAGATTATCACTTTTCTATCAATTCACGACCACTAGCTAGACTCATATTGTAATATATAATAGTCAACTTTGTCGAATCACATCATATCAAGTTCCCATAATGAGTTTTTACCAAGGAATTACTTAGGGCCGGCAACAGGTGTGGCCTAGCCCGGGCCATATTCCCCTGAGGGTCGGGCCACATAGGGTAAATTTAAAGGAAAATAATGCAAAAAAGATGGAAAAAACAAGGATTGTTCTAGGTTGAATCGGATCGGAACTATCTTGGCATGGCCCAGCCCCTAGGTTTTTAGAGCTGGGCCGGTTGGCCCACCCTGTCCATCGCCACTCTTGGAATTACTTCCATTGTATTTGATCACCTTAAATTTTCCACCTTGTACGGAACATGTCTGTCATATGAGTTATTCTCAAAATACCTTTCAAAACATAATACCAATTGCACTCCGTTAGTCATTATCGATACTTCTATATTAGATGAATAACATTTTCTAGTTATAAAGTAGTAATAAAACAAGTCGTCAAATAAGGGATCTATTTATAACCTAACTAAACATCCAATCAAGTCTCGGAAACTCAAGTTATGTACAAAAGGAATTATACAACATTCACATACTTTCACATTTACAAGGATTTCTACGAATTCTTTAATTTATCTTGACTTCTACAAACAACATGGAACAACTCAGTCTAGCCCATAGGGCAAGACCCAGTAAAACTATGCACTACTAAATCAATCAAATTAAGTAATTGACCAGTTCAAACTCTAGGTGCACTTACTGACAGAAACACGAAACATTTCATACATTGATTCAAACAAATTCAATCAATAGATATTTAAATAAAAAAAGAGTGAGTAAGGTACGGATCTCAAACATGACATCTTTTAGCCCACATCAATCTGAAATGAAGCCCTAGATTGTCGTTATGGTCATGAGCGGGTGATAGAGAGGTTGTCATTGTTCGTAGAACCGGCCGGTTTAAACTGGAACCGGCTGGTTAGCTCAAAATCGCTACGGTTCCGAGTCTGCTTAGGCTTGGTTTAGTAGTACCAGTAGTCTAACCACCAGCTCAAAAAACCTTCGGGTTCAAAACCGGTCGGTTAGACCTCAAACCGGTGATTTATTTTAAAAACCATCCGGTTTCTGCTAACCGAATCGATTTAATGCTAAACCGGGAGTTTTTTCAAAAATAACAGACATTTTTAAAAAAACAGGCGTTATTTGAAAAAGGACCGTTATATAATACATGAACCCGTGAATCCACCTTTTATAGCTTTTTAGATTCATTTTTTTGTCATTTCTTGTAGTTTTCGGTGCTTTATTGTTATATAACACCATAAAATATCTATAAAACATTGAATCTAGAATGAAAAATCGAAAAAGAATGAGATTTTGCTACTTGAAGTGGTGGATTTTCAAAGCTTTGAAATTTCCACAATTTTCTATATAGCAGCTTCAATACAGCATGGATCTTCATGAAAATTGAGGCTTTAAATCATTATTGAAGCATTTAAGAACATTCTCAATACCAAATGGATCTTCAATGAAATTTGAGGCATTTGAATCGTAATTGAAGTATTTGTCATATCCCTATTTCAATTTGTTCGAAAAAGAGAAGATTGCGAGTTGATTTTGACTCGAAAATTTTGGTGTTCATGATGATTTTGGCTTGATTTTAGGGTTTCTTAATAAAATTTTGTTTTTCAATAAAATTACATTTTTTATAAAAATATGTTTTTTTTGTGATGAATATGAGAAAAAAATATATTCTTTCTTTACAATGTTATATATATTTTTCTAACAAAACAATAAAATACGTGTATGACATAGTGCATGATAATGTTACTTGATCTTTAGCACGATTTTTCTTGTTCGATCTTTTTAGTATTTTTATTAAGTGCATGATGCAGTTGTATTTGTAAAAATGGAGGAAAATATTGCATCTTTTATCACACAATTTGAATTTATTTTTATTTTGGGTTAATTCTAGTGTTGTTGATGATTTTGGCTCGATTTTAGGTTTTCTTAATAAAATTTTGTTTTTCAAAAAAATTATTTCTTTTATAAGAATATGTTTTTTTGTAACTAATATGACAATATATATATATATTTTAATATTATATATTTTTCTAGCAATAAAATAAGATACGCATATAATATAGTGCATGATACTATTGCTCAATCTTTTGCGTGATTGTTTTTTGCTCGATCTTTTTAGTTATTTTTATTAAGTGCATGATATAGCTACTTTTATGAAGTGCAGCCTCTAGCCTAACACATCCCCATCTTCTTATTATATGGTACAAGAAGGAAGAGTATATCGTGTATCCTAAAAATTATAAGATTTTTATTTATGATAGAAAATATTGGGTACACTATTGGTAAATGACAAGGTTTATAAAACTATATTTACGTCGAGAACAAAGTAACAAACTATCGATGATGTATTGGCATGGCCTAAATTATGCACCACATGTGCACTCACATCTGTATACAATGGTTCTTTCTTCTATTTGAAAAATATACAAGTATATATTGTTGCATCATCCATAGTTTACTTTCTTTTTTTTTTCTTATGGCCCATAAGGAACTAGATATAAATATTTGTTGTAAAATTGTAATCTTAAAAATGAAATTTGTTTGCACTTCATTTATTTGTTTATTTATTTTGTTTGTTTACCTTGAGTTGCATTATGCAAAGAGGGATAAATCAATTTGCAATGCTTTATTTAGTTTTTAGATCATCAAAAATTTAAAGAGCACATTGCTTGGGTAAAATATTGAGGCAAGTATGTCCCAAATAAATATGTTATTTTACAAGAAAATTAAAAGTTAATGGTAAAATAAATTTTTTTAATGAACTTTTATGTTAAAAAAAAATTACAAGAAAATAATAAGATGAGGAGGGGAGATGTGGCGTGGTAGTTTGGTATAAAAGTGAATGATAAGGGAATAGTTCAATGTACTTTTTGTAACAAGGAAATGGGTGGTGGCGTTTATCGCCTAAAAGAGCACCTTGCTTGAGTAAAGGGTAATGTCACCGGTTGTACAGATGTGCTACCGACAGTAAAATAACAAATGTAAAAATTAATTACTGATAGAAAAAAAAAAAATGTGCAGAGAGAAAGGGATGTGGAGGAGGTAGGGAGGGGGTACAAAAGTCCCTTAGATAAGGTTGAGGACCAAGAAGCAGAGTTCGAGGCACAAATAGAACGAGCTAGGATTACCAGCCTCCAAGAGCTAAATTATAGACAACTGAAAATTCAAGAGATGTATGGGACTATCCATCAGCCTCAACAACCTGTAGTATCTAGTAGGGGAGGACGTGGGCCTTCATTGCTTAGGTCTACATCTAGTAGATTGAGGTGTTGTTTGTCTAGTCGCCCATCCTCTTATAGTCGGCCATCTACTACCCACTGACATGAACCCATAGATGTGCCACCAATGACCCGCGAACCCTTTGGACTTGACCCCCACAAGCCACAAGATCATAAAAAAAAAAAAATTCCATCAGCAGGTATATTAATAGAAAAGGCGAGAAAGATGATTAACATGTTTTGGTATGCTAATGTGCTGGCATTTGCTTCTACGAGCTCAACTTCTACCCGCAGATGGTATTTTCTATAGCCAAGGCAGGGCTGGGTGTTAGAGGCCCTACTGGGAAGGAGCTTGCAGGGCCATGTTTAAAAGTAGTTGTTCATGATGTAGATATGCATATTGCGTAGTACAAGGTCTGCTGGTCAGGTACATGCGTGACCATCATGAAAGACGGTTGGAAGGACAAGTCCCACATGCATCTTGTCAATTTTTTAATAGGTTGCCTTAGGGGGCATTGCTTACCACTCCAGCATTGACATATCAAGAAAGAAACAAACTGAAAGACTGATATTCACTCACATGGACAAGATTATAGATGAGGTTGGGCCTGAAAATGTGGTCAAAGTGGTGACTGACAATGCTATGAATTATAGAAAAGCATGCTCGTTGCTAATAAACAGAAGACCCAATCTTTATTGGACTCCCGGTGCTGCCCATTATATTAATTTGATGCTTAAGGAAATAGAGAAGCTGAAGAGGGTTAAACCTTGTATTTTGAAGTGCAAACTAATTGCAAAATTCATATACAATTACAGGTACCTC